AAATTTCTGATCCTCTTGCCTCAGCGTGCCAAGTACCCGGGATTACAGGCGTACACTGTGCCTGGCTATGCTTCTTTTAAAAAGATGTCATTGAGACATTTCAGTGGGGAGCAGTGTGATATGACTTCACTGGACACCACTCTGGTTGCCCTGTGCAGAAAGAATATCCTAGGGGCTCAAGAGAAAACCAAGGGACATCTGGGAGGCCAGGGCAGCCGTCAGGGGAGTTAGAGGCAGGGCTCAGACAGCACACCTGCTGGAGGGATGGACCCAGCAGGGAAAAGGAAACTCAGGAATCATCCTGGGATTCCATATGRGCAAGCAACACTGTGCTACTCACTGAGACCTGGACAGCCGGGAAGAAGCAGGTCAGGGAAGGTACTAAAAGCTGACATTTCTGTTCTGGCCACCTTGAGACATCTTTAGTGATGTTGTCAACCCAGCAGTTGACTGTCCTCAGCTGCCATGAGAAGGAAGTACTCTGCCACAAAGCTCTTAAGTGTACAAGTTGGTATCATAATGATGGCATCCAAAGCCCAGGGAAGAAGAAATGATAAGCTATGGACTTTGTCATCATGCTTTTCTACTGGTGGCTGCCACAAAGTTTCAATGTAAACATTTCTTCCGGGGAAATTACCTTCTGAGGATCTGGATATGATAATCTACCCCTTTTATTTCCCTTCTCCTCCTCGGTACCCCGTCTTGTTAAATAAAAACTTAAACATGAGGTGATTGTTTTAGTCAGCTTTGGCACTGTCATGACCAAAAGACCTGACGAGAACACTTTAGAGGAGGAAAACTTTCTTCTGGCTCATGGCTTCAGAGCTCAGTCTGTGGCCGGCCAGCTCCACTGCTCTGGGCCTTAGGTGAGGCAAGCATCATGGCAGGAGGGCCTGGAGGGGGAAAGCAGCTCAGGACTTGGCAACCAGGAAACACAGAGGGCGCTCTGCCCACCAGGGGCAAAACATAAACCCCAAGCCACTGGTGGCCTACTTCTCCAGCCACACCGTTAGCTACATTAAGAGTCAGTTAATCCACATCAATGGAGGATTAGGTCACAGTTCTCATAAGCTAGTTATTTTACCTCTGCACATTCTTGCATTGTCCCACACATGAGCTTTTAGGGGACATCTCATATCTAAACCATAACATCTCATATCTAAACCATAACAGGGATGGGGGAGGTTCCCACATTACCTTGGGTATTCTTCAGGGCATTTCAGTGATCTGTGGGTTGAGTGCCTGTATGAGAGTTCTAAGCTCCTTACAGGCTCACCTTCACATTCTTGTGAGACCCAACAACATCCAGCACAGAGTAGGCAATAAAAATGTGCGGGCTGCATGTCACTGACCTGTAAAGGATGGCCTTGGCCAAGTGTGCAAAGCTTGGTTCTAAGATGCCTGTACACCATATAGCCTGTGATCAAACAGTAACCAGAAATAGAGACAAATGTGATTTAAGGGACAGTCTGCAACACTTGGGCTGAGAACTTTAAGCATCACCGGGCTTTCAAAGTTCACTGGAGTGAGCTTTTTCAAAAATGCATCCCACTCGGACCCTTGGAGCACATTTCAGAGAAGACTGAAGACCAGGGAGGGCATTCAGAGTAGTAAGCAGGCTGGAGGAGAAAGGCTTTTTCCAAAGGAAACACAGGGGAGGGAGCTGGAAAACCACTGAGGACACAGCGTGGAGATCCGCGAGCACCATRACTTCAAGCTGCAGAGTTTGAGAAAGTCCTAAGTTTCTGAGGATGTAAGTGTTACTTCAAAGAGACATTTAAGGAAGATCACATATGTTCAATGTGTAAAATGGCTGAGTAGGTAGAGAACCTGTTGGGACCTGGCCTGACACAATGTCGCAGGAATCTGATAACAGGTGGCCACAGGATCCAAAAAGTCATTCAATGAAACTTAGTGAGTAACAGGATAGAGAGAAAGAGAAATAAGAGAATCGTATTTTAATCTGGTGCTTCGACCAGGTCGTCAAGAGAATAGGAGCATGATTAAGCTGGATATAATAACTTTAATTAATTTATTGATTGAATGATTAATTTTGGGGGATGCCGGGGTTGGAACTCAGGGACACTTGACCACTGAACCACAACCCCAGCCCTAATTTGTGTTTTATTTAGAGACAGGGTCTCACTGAGTTGCTTAGGGCCTTGCTTTTTGCTGAGGCTGGCTTTGAACTTGGGATCCGATTGCCTCTGCCTCCCACGCTGCTGGGATTACAGGTGTGCACCACTGCACCTGGCTTATTTATTTATTTTTAYGTGGTGCTGAGAATTGAACCCAGTGTCTCACACATGCTAGGCAAGCACTCTACCACTGAGCCACAACCTCAGCCCAATGGAAGTGATTTTTGAAGGATGATAATTCAGATCTCAGAGAGTCAAGTTTAGGATAATGTAGCTACATCCAGATCCTCAGCCTCCAAGGTACAGTGTGTACCACTAAGGTCCTGGCTGAGAGAGTTCCCCTAGTCTACTCCCACACAAATAAACAGAAAAACCCTCCCGGATAATATGATCTCGCTCCATGGTTGCAAAACCAAGTTTAAATGGATAATATTATAAACACAAAAATAAAACCAATGCCAAAAACTATCCACTTCTACCAAAGGACTGTGATCTCACATTCAGATGTTTTTTTTTTAAAACCCTATTAGGTGAAAAGACTTTCAAGGGTGTTCAGCTATGAGAGAACTGCAGGTCAAACCAAAATGAGATGCTATATACAACTGTTGGACTGGCTGAAATCTTAAAACCTAACAGTAACATGTAATAGTATCAAGGAGCAACTGAAACTCCACCTGGCTGCTGGGAATGCAAGAGGGCACAGCTACTTTGGGAGGCATTTGATAGCTCCTTATAAAAATCAAATATAAACTTTACTTCTGACCYGGCAATACCACTCCTAGGTTATTTTCCAAGAGAAATAAAGCACATGTCCATACAAATACTCTCAGCAAATATTTATAGTAGCTTTATTCATAACCAACAAAAACTGGAAACAGTGCAAATGTGTATCAACTAGTGAATGGATAAACATACTGTGTTCATCCATAAACAAATGAAATAGTGTAAAGTGATAAAAAGGGACAAACACTGGCACAAGAAACAACATGAAGAGTCTCAAATGTAACAAATGAAGTGAAAGAATCGAGGCACTAACTGCTGTGTGCACACACTGTCTATTTACATGACATTCTGGAAAAGGGGAAACTACAAGAACAGGATGGCCAGGGGCTGTGGGCTGGGGCAGCACCGACTAGTAAGTGGCAGGCAGGACCATCGGGGCTGGTGGAGATGCTCTCTCTTGGTTATGGTGTGGTCCTAAACATCTGTCAAAACTCATTAAAAAAAAAATCACACTTTTCAAGAGTGAGGTTTACTGTACATTATTCCTCAAGAAACTCAAATTAAAAATACATTCTATCTTCACATATGCTAAAAGAAAGATTTTGAAACACTGCATTGTTATCTCTGATTGCTCTGAAAAATTCTAGACATTTCTTAAGAAACAAGAATACTACAAATGTCTTCACTATTGAAAAGAAAGAAATCGCATGCCTTTTCCCTCTTTGAGCCTCAAAACATTCCTTTTCAGAGTTGGGGTGTCRGGATGTCAGGGTGTGCGGATTCCCTGTGAATGCTGGTCATTGAGGCACTAATAAGTGAGTCTTGTTTGCAGCACAGCTGCTGGCTTCATTGTTCTTTTGTCACACACTGAGAAGGAGAGCTGGTATGCTGGAGGAATGTGACCTTCTCACTGGAGAGGGGTTGCATCACGCCCTGAAACACTGCCCGAGAAATCTATTTTCACCATGTACCACACAGGAAGGGTAAAAATAAAACAAACTCAACCTCAACAGAAGACCCCCCAAACCATATTGGGCAGAATTGCCCCATAAAATCAGATCACTTAGAAGAAATCTTTCTTAATACTTGATATCCTGGACTCATCTTTTAAAGGAGCAAAGCTTTGTCTCAATTTACTATCCTTTAGTAGGTATYGTCAACAGAATTTATTTCAGAGTCCAAGAAATGTTTATAATATTTTTCAAAAGATAATTTGTATGAGCACTCCATGAAGAGTAGGTCTGTAAAATTGTGGGGACAATTTGTGTGTGTGTGGGGGGGGTGGCTAATGTCTACACTAGATACTTTGCCGTTTTACAGTTTGATCCTTCATGAACCCCTTTCAGTTGAAAAAGGGCCTTCAATATTTTCTGACCCTTATTCCAGTAAGAAACACATCTCACCACTGCAACCCAGCACAGATGTGTGTGCATGTACACGTGCACCTCACTAAAGCTTTACAAATTACTACTTATCCTTACCACACACATGCTCTTTATAGTTTCTCTTTTTTGAGGTCTTTACAACACTGGCAAAGACCCATGCAAATTTCAGTATCACTGCCCCAGACTATGGAAACCTAATGAGACCTCTACGCATATTCTTAAAAACTTGAAAACTTTGTTTCTTTCTAAACAAATGAGCCAGTGGTCTCTACACTTGCTACCTTGGCTCACGGTCCTATTAGGAATCAGCAGCAGAGATGGAATGATAGAGTCCCAAGGCACTTCTGCTGCTCCCCCTCCTGCCTGCTTGGACACAGGAGTAGGGGCCTTCAAATACTTGGGGTCATCCTCCCTCCTCCATTCACCCTCACTGTTATTCCTTATCRTCTGCACATACAGAGGGAAAAATAATATTCAACTGGATGAAGAAAGAATGGCAATATCAAAGAGTAAAGCGAAGCTGCTTCTCACCATCTGTGGATGTGGGTCACATTGGCTGAGCTTATTTCTAACACCACAGGTACCTGAAGCAAGCCTCAACTGGTGTGAGTCACGTGTAAAACATCTTTGCAACTATCAGTGACTCTGACTTTGTCAAACTTATGGTCAACATTATATTCTTTGATTCCATACAAACCGTTGGGCATTTGTGAAAAATTAGAAATAGATTTCATATAAAGATTTAAAAACTTACTTTTAAGAATTCCCACAAGGGAAACTGGACCAAAGAGAAAGGAATCTGGGGAGAAAARGGGGAAAAAAATATCAAACATTAGGTTGATAAAAAGCAGCAGTTTCCTGGCGTTATTATAAAAGCCCATAATTATTATTTAGAGACATACTTCATGTTAATTTTATGTATGAAACAAAGTCAACATTAAGCAAATTCACAGGCTGCAGTACGCATGCTTAGAAAAAGAACTAAACTTTAACTGTAGGTCCTCTCAACTCTTGGAGCCCAGCAAACGTAAAATTAGACACACCATGAAGGCCTGCGAATTAGAAAGAAAAGCACAACAGGGATAGGGACTGGTGGCTGCTCTGACAACAGCCAATGTGACGAAGGCCGGGGACCGTGGCACACACCTGTCATCCCAGCAGCTAGGGAGGCTGAGGCAGGAGGATCACATGCTCACTCACACCCAGCCTCAGCAACATAGTGAGACTATAAAGCAACCTAAATAAAAAATGGGGCAAGGGATGTCACTCAGTCGGTAGAGTGTTTGCCTTGCATGTGCAAGGCCCTGGGCTCAATCCCCAGCACCACAAAAACAAACAAACAAAAMAAATWAATAAAGGGCTGGTGACAAGGCTCAGTGGTCAAACATCCCTGGGTTCAATCCCCAGTACCAAAAAATAAAAATAAAAGTCACAAAGACTTTGAGGACATGACATTGTTCTGCTTAAGAGGGACGGCTGTCTACTCACGAGCAGGCCGAGTGTCGGGACTGAACAGAGGAACAGAGAAGATGCAGGGTGGAGGGAGGAAGAGCTGGAGGAGAGAGCAGACAAAGAGGACAGGAAGGCAGAGGACGGGGGAGAGGAGGGAAGAAGAGGAAAGAAGAGAGGGAGAAACGGGGGAGGGGAGAGGAAGAAGGCAGCTGAGGAGAGACGGTGAGAGGAAAAGGGAGGAGAGGGGCACAGGAAGGAGAGAGCAGGACAGGAAAAGGGGAGCTTGCTGTGGAGGAGAGGACGAGGGGAACAAGGAATGGGAGATGRAGGGAGGGAGAGAGGAGCAGAGCCACCTGCAGGAGGACAGGGAGCAGCACAGGAGCAGCACAGCAGAGGGAGGGCTACAGGCGTCCTCAGGAGGGCACACTGGGTGATGCTAGAGGAGTGCAGAGGGAGAGGGACAAGGGACAAGCAGGGCTGAGCTCCAGATTTAGCCTCAAGCGCGGTCAGGGAGACGAGCAGTCTAACTAATGAAGTAYGAGTGGTCCAGACAGAGTCAGATTTACAGTGAGCCTTCTAACCACAGAGCCAGAATTCCCAAGACACCTAAGTTTTACTTCACTGAATCTCCTTAACAGTCCTATCAAACACTATCATTCCTAATCCCCTCTTACAGAGACTGAGGTTCAGAGAAGTTATGTAAATTGGCTTAAGACACGCAGTGATTAAGTCGAACCTCCTGACTTCAGAGAACCAATCAATGCAAAAGATATCTAACTGGATTTATCTGCATACAAACTCACTCATAGTACAATCTTCTGCTTTTAATTAAWTTTTTAGAAATTTAAAAACAGAAACCACCTCCATATTTCTTAAAATAAAAATGCCTGAACTCCCCCCCAACCCCCGCTGCCAATGAGTTTACATAATATCCAGTCACTGGCCACCAAACCAGTGCCCAGCAGCTATGACACCACAGGCTTGCCATGTCCTCATTACTGTCACTCTGCATTCAGCTCAGTTCCAAGTGATAAGTAAATGTGAACTTGGCACATGTGTATGTCTCTATGATTTTTGAGGAATTAACAAGTATTGACCTTCACATGAACTAAGGGCAATAAAGTTGTTCCTGAAGTATTTATATTAATCAGAATTTAAAGTTGTTCCTGAAGTATTTATATTAATCAGAATTTTAGAGCCCAGCAACATCTGTGCAACTCGGCTAGAGCAAATGATGGCCCTGAATTTGACAGACAGTGGCCCTAGAAAGAAAATCTGACTTCTATTCAGGAAGGAAACAGTAGTGAGAGGAAAAAAAGAAAAAGAAAGAAAAGAAAAGAAAAGAAAAATCAATGTCACTACCTGGATTAATCTGACAAGCCAGAATCTCAGAGAAGTTTGTCATTGTCATCAATAAGCAGCTACCCCACCCTGAATGTCAAAGTTCTACAAGAGCAGTCAAATTTAGTTTGGTTCATTTGGTCACCAAAACATAAAAGCATCTGACACTGTCCAATTTGAAACCACAGAGCTGTATTTCCAATTAAATTAATTATCAAGACAAACAAAAACCTGACTGTACAATGGATTTCTAAAAGCTTTTCTAATTTTTTAAAAATTCAAAATATGTAAAAAAAAAAAATTACCCTCAAGAACAACAGGGGTTACAGATCATTTTAATCTTCTCCTTTGGGATTTTGCCATCTCAGATGTAACAATATTACATTTTAATAAGAATAAAATGAAAAGAGCTTTAAAATTCATTGCAGCAGGGCTGAAATTGTGACTCAGGAGTGGTAGAGTGCTTGCCTAGCATGTGTGAGGCACTGGTTCGATCTTCAGGACCACATAAAATATAAGAAAATAAAATAAAGTTATTTAAAAAATTCATTGTAACCATCTTTGACAGTTTTTCATTTCTTGATGAAAATAACCCATAAAATTGTCTGAATTTGCTCAATACTTAATACTATTAGATTCTGAATTCTATGGATGAACATTTTGCCCATTTTCCTCTATTAATGTTTACTTATTAAATTGACCCTTCAGTTTAAAGAGGTAATTTAAAAACGACACATTTGGAACAGCCAAAGGATTCCACCGGGTATTTGTTTTTAAAAGTGAGCCKACAGTAAACCCAAACAAAACAAGATCAACTGACTGTCAAAGGTAATTAACGGTGCTATAAAGGCTTTGCTAATTAAACTTATTTCTGGCTTCTAGGAGTGAAAGACCCTCATGAGATAAACTCCTTGTGTGTGAAAATTTCTCCAACGTTCCTCAAGTCAAAATCSTGTTGCACACTTGCTGTCACTTACAGTAGGAAGGGACAACAATGGAAATGTGCTGCACATATGTGAAAGGAAAGCGGCCAGCACATCCGCTCCGGGCTCCCCCAGCCACGGCTCCCCAGCCAGGCGGACCGGGCCTGTGAGAGCCGGCTCCCCTMGCGGCCCAGGTCTGGTGTGGAGTTACACAACAGTGATGTTTCTTCAAAATGTGGAATTTTATACCCCAAACAGATGTAAGCTGTTATTCTAAAATGTTTTATAGTTGAAGAAAATGAATAGCTGCACTCAGAGGTCTTATATTCCAAAACACAACATACCCACTTTATTGCAGCAAAAGTTACAAAATGGTCACTGTTGCGACCTGTTTAACGCCTCCATTTAACATGTTTTGTTTGAATAAGGTTGTTAAGACCCAGGGCACTAATAAGTGAGTGGCCGTAAACCCAGCTACCATCAAAGAGGCAGATGTAGGGGGGAAACCTGCAAAAATTCAACTCAGATTCCACTTAGTGACAAATACAGCAATAATTCTAAACTAGTGTGTGGGTRAGGATTCTAGGTGGAGCAGATGAAGTGAGATCGGAGTGTGGTGAACGGGCAAGGAGGCACTGGGCATCCCTGTGACATAAGCAACGTACAGGCAGGTTAGGAGCACCCTTTATTCATGGAGCACTGGACTGTAGTTATCCTTGAAGCCAGTCGATGCTTCTAACCCTGTGATCTTAAAATAAATGTCTGTACCTTATGGTCCTTTACCAGTGAAGCAACTCATRCAATAACTAAGGTGACAGGAAGCTGTGATTTCTAAGGTGATTGCTAACCTCTAAAATTCTATTTTTCAATGGAACAATAATATCAAAATACAATGTTTTTTAAAATAAATAAGACTGGACTGTAGGCCACAATGAACCCAATGCCACTGAGTGAGCCAGGAAGCCTAGGGAACAGGMGTTCAGTTGAAAAGCTGTGAAAGCTCTCACATTTGGCAAAAATGACCAGAGCCTCTCCAGTAGTAGGATCTTTAAAAATTAAACTATGCAAGACCTCAAATTACAATGGGTTTGAAGAACAGCATGGAATGGGTAGTTTGACATGGAAATACAAGTGGGTTCAAGGGCCTGCCCATTCCAGTTTTCAAGAGATCCTACAAGTGAGGGGGTAGTCTCTTCTTTGTGCCTGACAACTTCCAGAGTCATGTGCTTGATTTGGGGTTTTCCATTCCAGTGTCCCAGGGGGAACAACACCATTCTTCTCTTAAATACTCTGTGCCTTACCATTCAACCTCAGTAATGAACAATCACAAATGARGCTGAAACATAAAAACTCCTTGCTCCAAAGTGACCATCATTCTTAAAAACAAAACAAAACAAAAAAACCATACACACTATCTATCTGTGAAGTGTATACATATGTGTGTATGTTTCTCAAACACAACATATATATGTATATATATTTGTGTGTGTGATATTTACTTATTTATTCCAAATACATATATATGAGAACCAAAATACATATATATGAGAACAAAGCTAAAATGCTAGGACATATCAGGGAAATGTATGCCCAATAAAAGAAATAAACCTAAAAGAAGAAATTCTGGAAATGAATTACTTCTTAAGTTTGCAAGACATACTAAAATTCCTAAAGCATCTTTCCAAAGAAAATATAATATGTACATAAGAGTAACAAAATCTAATAGAACAAAGGAGATGAGAATAAACAGTCTCGTTCTCAAATAAACCTTTTAGATGTCAAGGGCAGACACCATGGGGGTACTGCCAATCTCTAACTCAGACAGAGGAAGTATGAAAAAATATCAGAAGTGAATGTAAAGATTAGGCATTCTCTCTACAGTCTACAGAATTATCAAAATAATTTCATTTAGGCAGATGTAGCACCTAGCATAAATTTAATGTTAATATGCTAGTTATATAACACTATCTTATAATGAAGACAAAGGCAATGTCAAGTTAGTCTGTAATTTGCTGTATTTCTGAATTCA